AGTTTGTCCCTCCTCTGCGGCCGACGACGTCACGCTCGCTTTACTTCAGTTCGCATTTGGAAGCAGAAATTTTCCTGTCTATAAAACTCCTGGAGACGTTGATTTGTTGTGCTCTCATGGCAGCGATTTTACTCCGCCGTGCTGTTCGTGCTTGGCGTCGCGGGTGCATCCAGGAATCAGCGCTGCTGCTCTCGCTCCTTCTGGCAGGCGCTGCCCTGCGCCTCGTGCTCCGCTCCCCGCTCTCCCTGCCCGTGCTCTCCCTGCCCGTGCTCTCCCTGCCCATGCTCTCCCTGCCCGTGCTCTCCCTGCCCGTGCTCTCCGCAGGGCCCTGCCCGGAGGTCACGCTGCTGTTTCTCGAGTTCTCTGTGTAGGAAACTGCGCGGGTGAGCGATCAGACACCGGTAAATCTGGAAAAGGATGCTTTTGACGTCTGCCCACGCACAGCACGCCACGAGCCCCTGGTACGTGCGCTCAGCAGCAGCCCTGGGTCAGTGCGAGCCTGGGATCGATCTGGCAGGGCTCGCTGTTGTTATAAAGACTGATGGGTATTAATTAAGCTGCTCTGTGCTGTGGACTGCTGACAATGGAAGCTGCTAAACCAACTGTAAAGCTGGCTCTGGGGATTGTGGGTTTCCGACAATCCCGGGCTGCAGTCCAGTTCCAAAATTTGAGGAGGGTTTGATTCCTGCAGTTCTGACTAAATCCCTCCAGCTCCTTTCTAGGAGATTTTAGTTTGTGTTTTGGCAAATCCTGTTGCTAGAAATTAGCTTTTGAGGCTGGCTCTGGGAGGATTCACCCATCCCAAACCAACCAAGAACATCAGTAACGTAACAAAGGCAGATGCTTCGTTAATGAAGTGTTGCTGGTCGGCATAATTCAGCGAGTTACACTGGACTGGGGAGTTGAGAGAGAGATTCTCTCCTTCCACTTCTCTGAGCAATTTCACCAACAGGAGTGGGCAAAAGCCTCCACCGAGCACGGCTGCTTGCAGAGAGGCAGAGCGAACGCAGCGTGAAGTGACACCATGCTGGACCTTCGTTCCCAGCCTCCGGACTGGGCTGGGCTGACCCACAGGCTGGCCGAAGCGTCAGCCCTGCCGCCGTGCCGACCGACTGCGCTGCCGTCGCTGCCGTATTCCCCAGGAAGGTGCCGAGCTTCAGCTGTGGGGGAAGCAGGCTGGACGGCCACAGCCCAGGCGCAGTCGGTGGCTAAAACCCGTTTCGTCTTCCCCCCTTCGTTTTCCCGGGCTTGTTTGAGCAGCCTCATCTAGTTGGAGGCTTGCAGGGTCATTTTCCTACCTGGGTGCTTTCTCCTTTCTCTTGAGCCGCTCTCTTTGGTGACACCAGGGAAGCTGCTTTCTGTTGATGTTTGAACCGAGCAAATCCATCGATGTTCACCGCATCCCTTCGGCAGCGGCCGCTGACTGCTGGAGTGTCCCTGCCGGAGAGCAGCCCGGGTGCTGGTCCAAGGCAGCTCCCTCGCAGGGTGCAAGCCGTGCTGCCAGGGTGAGATTTGTCACCTCGAGGCAGGATGCAGTTTACTTGTATTCTTAATGAGGTGTTCCAATTTCCCCATTGAAGAAGTTGTACAGGCTGAGGTTATTCTTCCTTCTTTCTATTAGCCACAAAACAAGGAAGAAATGTTGTGTTCTGTAGCCTGCAAACCTCTGGACTGTCTCAAAACCCCCATTTGTCATAAAAGTGTGGTGGCGTTCTTCAAATTGTGATGGAAAAATTATCTTGTTTTTTTATTCTTTGATGTTGCTCAGCATTGGAGTCTGAGATGTATGCAGTTCTCCTAAGTTTTCCCTAAGCTTCTGGGGTTCTGAACATCAGAGAAAAAATATCCATGAATTTAATAATATTTAAGAAAAATATAGTATTTGTTTACTTTAATATTACTCTTCTAAGGTTCCTGCTGCTGTTTAACCTGCCATCTCACGAAGCTGCAAGCTCGGGGCAGTTCAGAATGCCAGAGGCCGCTCTGGAGTGTCTTTGCTCTGCAGGGGTTCGTCTTTCCAGGAGCCTTGCCACTTCCCAGCGTTTGTGTTGTGATAATCTCTGCCAGCATTTCTTGCAATGCTTCATTTTAATATATATTCCCTTGTCACTGCAGAACTGAATTCAGCCTTCTGGTAAGTGATATCTAAATCACTGCTGCAAGGAGAGAATGAAATATAGGTGGGTGAGAGAGCCAAAGGATATGACTGAACAAGAGAAGCTCGCACAGCGAGAAGAAATATCTACAGCTGTGTAGAAAATGTGCTGTTCCCTGACAGCTTCTGCTCGCTGCTGGTGGTGCAACACGTGCGTCTCGGGTACCACCACGGCCGGCTGCCTCTCGCCGTGTAACTGCGAGATGATCTGATCTGTGCGTGCCGCCATGTTGTGCATCTGCAGCGACTTGGGTGCTCACTGCGGTGGCACGTCTGATGCCGCTTGGAAATCCACTGCTGCACCTGCTCAGCAGCGATCCTGTAGTGTGTGCATGGCTGGAGCGGGGTCTCCGGACACTTCGGGGTGGACGTGCGTGGTGACTGCTTGGCCTTGTGCATTTGGATGAGGCTCTTTGACAGGGAACAAAAAAGGAGAAAGTGGATAGGTTGTCCCAGGCAGTGACAGCACACTGGGGCAAGCAGCGGAGTCAGCAATAAACCCAGTAAGTGTAAATCACCCTGCAGCACCCGGGGAGGGCGAGGGGCCGGCTGCCCGGGGCTCGGCTGCGGGACGGACCCCGCTCCCCAGGCTCTGCCCTTCGCAGCCCATGTTGCTCCCCGTCTTCTCCCCGCTGACCAAGCCCTGCGGTCACGGGCAGCTGGGCTGCGTGTTCTGGGGAAGACGATTTTTGACTTCACTCTGCCACTCCAGCCTGCTCAGAGGGGCTGAGCCCATCCCGGGTGCTTGGGACCCAGCTGCTGTCGGCACACCGTGTGCCATCCCCACTGATTGTGTGCTAAATAACACAAGAGCTCCTACAGCGTGGCTGTGGGGGGCTGCTGTGTAGAGTCCGAGCCCTCGGAAGCACGTGCTGAAGGAGCTTCCTGCCTGGCGAGAGCACTTTGCTCTTACTGCAGGAAAACACCTTGTGCAGTACCGAAGAGCAGCCTAAAGCTGTTCTCACTGCCTTCTGTGTTCCCACGGGAAAGCTAGCCCGAAACTCGCTGTGCTGGTAGCAGCTTTCCCCTAACTTCAACCCGAACGTATTGGCTGGTGTTTATTCCTGTGCCAACATCGTCCCTCAGTCCAAGCAGCCTCTGCCTCTGCCTCTCCTCTCCGTCGAGGACGATCATATCTGCTTGTCTTTGTTCCTCCAGGCTGAGCACACCAGCCCCTCTCCGGTCTCCCGGCCGTCTCGGCAGCCCTTTGCTGCGTGGTTTCCACCTGAGTCCATCCCTGTCGAACATGGGTGACCAGACCCGAACAAAGTCCCCAGATAAGATCTTCCCAGGGCCCTGCACAATGGAAACTTCCTTGAAGCCCGTCCAAGGCGTCTGCTGAGGGGTGAGATTTTCATCCCTGCGGGATGAGATTTTCCTTTGAACTACGCGTTTCTGCTGCCCTCGGTTTGTTCAGGTAACATAAGTATTGATGTTAAAAGTTGTATTTATTGGTGGCTTTATACATTTCATTACAACTTCATTTTTTACAGTCAGTTTGTGCCACCCTTTACAGATACAGCTGAAATCAGTTTGAAGCTTGGTCTTAACAAAGTCAACATTTATCAGGTTTCTGCAACTTCTCCGTGTTGCTTTTTATCAAGAAAATCTTTTTCCAGTGTTGCATCGGAAACAGGAATGAGCGTTATCAGGCCCACAACTCCCTGGGGACTGGGAAGAGCAGCTCATTGCCCACCATAAGCCTCCTTGACTCTGTGCCCACGTGCTCCGTGCGCTGCCTGCCCGTACAGGGAGCCCCGTCAGCCTCCTGCCAGAAGAAGATGCTTCAGCACCTCTCCCGATTTCCTAAAATGTTGCTTTCCTCATCGCATGGGGATCCCATGGGCCACCATCTCAGAGCACCCTTTTGAAGACCGACTGGGGGGAGAAAAAGCGGCATCCGAGTGATCCAGAGGGAAATGGCAACCGGTCAAGTCAGTGGTGACGTTACCTCGTATAAATCAAGAGAGGTGGCAGCTGGGTGTTGCTTCCAAAGAGCAAGACTGTAGAGGGATGACTGCTCATGGGATGTGGAGGCTGTCAGGAGAAGGTGTGTCTGGCTGCACACAGTTTTTATATAAGGCCAACTCCTTCCATCTCAGTTGCAGGAAAAAAAGGAAGAACAAGGCAGAATCTCGACAGCTTCCAGAAGAGCCCGAGCAGACGCAAGCGCCCTTCCCAGCTGGCCGCAGCTGATGCAGGTAATCAGATCACCTGTGCCTCGGAGCCCCGGCTGCGAGGGCTGCGGGGTGGCAGGGAGAGCCTTGCAGCTTGGGAGGGATGCGCGCAGCCTGCCGGGTGCTTTGGTCCACCAAGCTCCTCATCATCCGCCTAAGCCTGTCATTTCATAACTAAATTTATGTTAATAATTATTATTTAGACCTTTATAGTTAGCTTGTTTTTATCACTTGAGCTTTAGTTTGTTGCTTTTGAAAGTTAGAAAGAACAAGAATAATCCTCAGATGCTTCCCTTGGCAAAGACCTATCAAAACTCAGGCAACTTTTCATCATGAGGGTACAGCAAGAACGCCTGCTCAGACACCAGTTCAGGGGAAAAGCAGTTGGGCTTTCTTTTCTCTGAACATGTGGAATGTTTGGGGCAGTCACAAGGGACAAGGAAAGGGCTTTTATTGACCCACACTTGAAGCCCCTCCGCTTGTGTGGACATGAACAAGGTCCTGCTGCCCCAGGCTCGAGCAGAGCCTGACTTCAGCTCGGTAAAGAGTTGAAGAGGGATTTCTCGCTCGACCTCTTTCCTTGTAAAGACATTGGGATCTCTTCTTAGAGGCTCTTCCCCCACTTTTCACTCGGGTGTCTGTCTTGCCAGCAGCGGAGTCTTCTGGAGATGACGATGTTGAAGCTTTTTGGAATCGTCTTTTTCTGTGGCCTCCTCTCACCCTCCCAAGAAGTCTTGTCTGGTCTGTCCTGTGCTGTCAGTCCCGCGGCGATGCAGAAAGGTAACGAGAAAACATGAGTTATGTTTATTCTGAAAGCTACGTGGGGCTGTGATGTGGAGTAAAACCTCCTGAGTGTCTTCATCTGCATTTTATAGTTCCTGAGGGCTGCAGACTTCGCGTGGAGCGTCTGACAGCCATTGCTGGTTTTACGGGTCAGGGAAATCTCTGCTCCAGAACTGGGACACGTTTTGCACCAAACAGCCATACAGAATTTCAGGGCTACAGCTGGGTTATTTCTCCTTTTTGTCTCAGTTTCTCACTTCCAGAATGGAGCAGCTGATATTTGGCAAACATCTGCTGTGACGTGTAGCGGCTGTGTTAATTTTTTCAATACTCTAGAAAAAAAAAAAAAGAGGCCTGTTTCAAGTTGCTTCTGTTTAAAGAAAACCCAATCAACCACAAACCCAAACAGACCCCTTTACAAATGGGAAACAAGCTGTGAGCTGAAGCACAGCTCCCACTGAGGGGTTTGCTGTTGTCAGTATGATATGTATTGTGTATTGTACTGCCCAGACTGTGGTGCTGTGCAGCCTGCGCTGGGTGACCCTGCTTCGGCAGGGGGTTGGGCTGGGGGATCCCCAGAGGTCCCCTCCACCCCTGCCATGCTGGGATCCTGGGATTTCTGGAAGGGCATAATGGCACGGTAGTCTTTAGGTCAGAGGTCTGGATTGCTCTCCACCGCTACCCCTCCTGGTTAATTCACTCCGGGCAGCTTTGGTTCAGCGCAGGTTGTAAAACATCATCCCCTGTGTGATTCGGCTGCACTGAAACTGCCGATGCCTTCATCAGGGGTTTTGGGGAGAGGTGGGGCTCTGTGTGGGACGCCTTTGCCAGGACAGGTCTGACCGAGTGGAGAGAGCTGGTTGCTGCAGGTGCCCGTCCTCACGCCGCGATGTTTTCCAGTGCTCTCGGATGCCATACTTCAAAACGGACTTCTCCAGCAGCACCTGCAGGGCCTCGTGGTCCCAAACATCATGGGTGGAGAGGGTCTGCTGAGCTCCCCCACCAGCATCACCGGGTAAGTGGAGAGCGAGGGCTTCTTTGTGAGTGCACCTTGACCAGCAATTCCGAAGGAGCAGAAGCTGAGCTGCAGCTGGCCTGCCTGGCCCAAGTAGTTATCCTCATTTTATTTTGATGCTGAAACTCTGGCCTGACAAAAGTTTCCTCTGTGGTAGCAAGGTGGATGGTGAAAGCACTGCAGGTTGTGGGTGGAGAGGCAGAATGATGGCTTTGGTGCTGCTGCTGATGTCTGAGATCCTTGATGGCACTGAGGGAGGGAAGAAAGTGCCACAGAGAGAAAAACCGGACTGCTCTGTAAAGTTGGCTTCCACCCCAGTCTGATTCTAGGTTACCTTCTTTTGGGTTTCAGCTGCAGACTCTGTCTCTCATCCTGGAGCTGGCATCTCTTGCTTATAACACTCCTGCCTCCAGCTGGAGGTGGCCGTGGCCGTGTGGGCGCTGTGGGTTCCTCAGGGCGTGCAGCCGCTCAGCTGCTAGAAGATGCTTTTAATCTGTGCCAGCTTCTGCTGTTGTTTGCAGCCTACACCTCGCCGAGGTTCGGGTCCCCAGGCTGTCCGTGTCGCTGCTGCCAGGAATCGGAGTCCAGATGATCATCACCGCCAAGCTGGAGCTCAGGGGCAACTGGTGAGTGTGGCGTTTCACGGAGGCTGTTAAGGGAAACCCCTGTCTGCAGGCTTCCTCTTGTGTGATGTTTTGAATCTTTTAGGGTTTTTCTTACCTATAGTAAAGTCACAGCAGAACAGGCAGCAAAAGATGGCTTGTGGCATTTGTGATGAGTGGCAGGAGACGGAGGGGAGGTTTGCTGCTGCTGGATTTGCCGAGTTTCTCTGGTTAGAGGCTGAGAGATGAAATATCTTCAACCTGTTTACTTTTTTTCAGCTTGGTTGGCCTCCTTTCAGACCTAATTAGTATCTTAGTGGACGTGAGAATCACTGCAAACATTAAATGCACAAACTTTGAGTCGGGCACGGTCCAGGTCGTCATTGAAGACTGCCTCTGCGTTCTTGGTGCCATCAAGATCAACCTCCTGGCTGGGTGAGTGTCTGTAGGTTTACGTCTTCCGTTGCCTGCGATCCTCTGCTCTTTACCCAACGATCCAGACAGTCTGCCAGGACACAGACGGGGCTCAGCTGACGCGGAGCTGGGTCTCAGGGAAAGCAGTTTCCTTCCCGTTGCCAAGGCAGTTGCTTCAGTGGGACTGACAAAAAAATTGGTTCTTGGAAGACGAGGGTTAATTTGTCCTGTTTGTCCGTGGAAATGTCAAGATCTGAAGTGTGAGGTCTGGTACCTCTTCCAGTGCACTTTCAGTGATCTTAGCTTGTGAATTGGTGTCCAAAGGGTGGGAGTAAGAAGGCAGGGAGTGTGCTAGGAGAACGGCACCGTTGCTTGCCCTGGTTTTGTACCGCTACCCGTGCGGCACCAGCACTCTGCCTTTAGCTGCTGCCGCAGCAGGATGCCGGGCTTTTGCTCTGCCCGCTGTGGTCTGTGTAATTCCATGCAGACGTCCCATCTCTTGCTCAGTCTTATTAAATTCTTGGCAGAAAGAATTTGCTGCCTGTATTGATGAATGCAACAGTAAATTGATCGTGGGGAAATATTTTCTTTTATTGCTTTTGAATTACTCACTTTTCAGGTTCGTTGAATTTCTCCTAATTAATTTTTTCATTATGCATTATATTTCAATCAGTGCAGCAGCCGCTTTGAAAGCGACTGTGTGAGTGAACAGAGGAACACGACTCACCCGCTCTGGGGGTCATATTTTCCGTTTGAGCAGGATTAAAGCGATGGGGAGCAGGAATCGAGCTCCCTGTGGGTAGGGGGGAGCGGGGATGTGCGCGGCTGACCTCGTACAGTTCCTCAGAAGTGTCTATAGGCAGAACCTGAGCGTAAATAACAAGATGCAGTACGAGTTCCTGCTGTCTGTGGCTTGCACAGTGTGCTGCTGCATGTTTTAACTCGACAGGCCAGAAATATATTGATTATCAGAAGTAAATGGCTCTGCGCTGCCTGCACACATCCCAGAGTGAGCTATTTAACAGCAGTGTTGAAAAGTTACACACCAGATTTCTCCTCGTTCTTCCACATGTAAATTGTTTGTTTCCCAGAACTAGCATGGACATACCTCATAACAACTCCACCTCCCCTTCACCACGGCACTGACGTAAATACCAGAGGGAGACGACCCAACCTGGGTTACACTGCGAGGGGCTCGCTCCTGTCATGCCATGATGTCTGCACACCCCAAGTGCTGACGCCCTCAGCCCAATGCTCCCCTCGGCGAGGCCAGCAGCCCCTCGCCCTCCCCGCCTTTTGCACAGCCCCTGCTCTTGCCGGGACTCGCTGCAGCAGTGTCCCTGAAGGGACGGCTGGGGACCGGGCAGTGTGTAACACAGGGGCTGGAGGTCCTTCGGTCTCCTGCCCTGGAGCTGTGCTTGTAGTGATGGGGAGTTTTTCTCTTTTCTTTCCAGCTTGCTGTCACTATCAGTAGATGACATAGTGCTTAACCAGCTGACAGCGACTCTGCCCGGCTTGGTAAGCCTGAAGGTCGCCCTCCTTTCATGGCTGAAACGCAGAAACATCAGGAACTCCACGTTACGAGGTCACCACAAGCTGCACTGTCTCTGTGCTGCTTCCCGGCGTCACGGCGCGTGCCGGTCGGCAGGGTTGGCTGCTGCCAGCCTGTCCCTGCCTGCAGACCGGTGCCCCAAGTGTCCCCCAGATCAGAGCAGTCCCCTTCGGTGCGGTTCCACCACTCCAGGGACGCTCCCCTGCCCCAGGTCCTTCACAGCATCCCAGCTGCCGCCTGATGCCGCGCAGCCCGTTTTCCCTGGGGATTTAGCTGGAAAGGAGCGGGTCTGGGCAGGCTCCCTGCAGAGGGCTGGCGAGGGGGCTCGAGTGGTCGCGTTTCTGTTTTGTGTTGCAGCTGTGTCCAGTAGTTGGTATCGTCATCAACCATGTGAACATCCAGCTCCTGAGCACGCTCAACGGTAGGCTTCTCGCGGAGCATCGGGTGCCGCTTTCCCGCGTTCCCTGCCATCCTGCGGCGGGAGGTCCCTTTCCCAGCTCCAGCCCAGCAGCACCCGGGAGGAGCTGCGCTGGGGCAGGGCTGCGACCGAGCCTGGGATTCGCACCCGAGCAGGCGAAGAGGACTGCTCGCACCTGCGCCTCCGGACGCCATCTTTACACGCCGCCCTCGGGTTTAGCTCCGTGTCTTTGCTGCACTCTTTGGGCTGTGTTCTAAAGGCAGACCCTACAAAGCTGAATTTGGGGGCACAAACTGAGGCACAGGAAGTTCCGTCTGAACATGAGGAAGAACTTCTTCCCTCTGAGGGTGACGGAGCCCTGGCCCAGGCTGCCCAGGGAGGTTGTGGAGTCTCCTTCTCTGGAGATATTCAAGACC